TTTCTTCCGTTTTGAACCCCTTCAAAACACGGAGTTCACACACTTTTCAAAAGCCCCGCCGATGTTTAAATCCTTGTGTTCGCATGAGACGGTTTCTTTCTCTTTCTCTAGCCACCTTAAATCCGAAGTACGAAGTCTTTTGGGTTTTATAACTGCTGAATCTCCAGTTGACACTGATGATTGTTGTTTGGATCTTTCTGGATGCCATAAGTTTAATTATGTAAAGTGCTGCGAGAAAAGCCTATACATCTAAACATCTCGTCACGCGCAGTATAGCCGGCTAGCCGAAACTCCTTCTTTATGTGTACGGGTGTGACGTAATGACGCAAAGACATGCTTGAATTTCCCGCGGAAACCCACCAGTACCACTGGAATTAAAATCATTATTACAAGCTAACCGTTTTGAATCCAGCTATGGCAAGCAGATAGTTTTGACCACTGGCAGAATAAGTTTTTTTTAATATAATTATTTTGGATTATTTTTAACTTAAAAAAGTTACGGACTGGAGCTTTAACATAACATTGTGCACCATTCTAAAATTAATCAATAATCTGCCCCTGTAATCATAATTTGTGTGAAAAGGAATAAAAGTTGTTGGTGTTTTACTGCCACTAGTGTTCATTTCAGCTGAAATCTGTAGTGAATTGTGTATATATAGGTACGTCTTTGGAGCAAAAATCTAGGTAGAGTCACGTTTTTCCAATGAGCCTATGTTGACATTTTTTTATAGCAGTTCTGAGGATTTGTGTCTTCCTAAAATGAGCTCCTTTGTTATAAAACATTGCCTTCTTGGTTGCAGAGCACCGGGACCCCTTCCATCCCCTCCAAACTCAGACCTAAAAGATTATAAATTAGTACAAGTGGGGGATGAGAGCGGGATTAAGGATGCTGCAAAATCTAAAACAAAGGATGCTTTTTTCCAAAAGGGTTGACAGGGCAGATTAGGACTTTGTCGGTTAGTACTTATGGGACTTTCCCCTTAGAAAGACGCACACTTGTTCTCTTTACCCACCTCCTCTGGTATACCATCACTGCCGTAATGAGGTAGCATGGGAAATCGACATAATAATAAGGTCGAGGTTGGCGGATTTTATTAGGATAAAGGAAGACGCACAGGCTTTATGCATCTCTTTGGGTGTCTATCAGAACAACGACTTAGACTTCAGCAATCGGGTCTGACGACGATGAGTCCAATAATATTACGGCAATGGTGATGTAAGACAATGCTGGAGAACTGAGGCCGAGGGTGCTGAGATATGCGCTGTAATTGAGCAGCTGGAGCAATTGGAGGCCATGGGACGCACTTTTAATTTCATCACTCTGTCAGCTTTTATTAAAACCCATTCGTCATAAAGAGGAGAGCGAGAGGTTGGGCCGTGTGTCGGAGGCTGTATTGCCATTGCCTGGGAATTCAGGCTTCGGAAGAGTAGAAGGAATCGTGATATTGGAGAGATTGATGACGAAGCTTGGTTTTTGGCGTAAGTGATAGGAGAACCCCTTCCACACCATATACGCAAAAATCAGCCCAGCCATCAAGCCCATTTGTTACTGTCTGGGGAGGTCAGTGAAGTTGGGGAGAATGCATTGTGGGATAGTGTGCATCAGAAACGTAAAACCCGGATAATTATCAGTCACATTGATCTGAAGTCCAACTGCAGTGAATTTGCCCAGTGTATTGAATTGCCGTTAATAGCTGTTTTTCCTCACAGGCTAATGAGATTACTTCAGCCTGCCGTCGTTCTTGTTTTGTTGGTTGAAGAAATAGAAGGCCTTGTTTGTTGCCGGCATTGTTTGTTGTTGTGTTGCGTTTTGTTTTCACAGGGGACTGTAAAGGAGGGCACACGTATGCTAGTTAGTTCTCAGATAGGGCTGATAGCTTAGCTTTGGCACACAGTTTTTGAAGTGTCATCAAAGTGTAAACCCCCGTCTCCCCTCCTTCTTTCTTTTCCTCTGAACTCTCTCTGTCCTCTACACTGTCATCCCACCGAACCGCGGTGGCTCCATCACGCCTCCTTCAATCAAAGCAAATTAAATGATTCATTATTTCTTCCCGCCCACCAAAAGATGTAGAAACATAAAAAATAAAAGAAAGGCACTAGTGAGAATAGCTTTTACATCTTCCCCCATTCACGTTTTCGCACAGTACATGTGTGCAACTAAAGAACGAGCCAAAAAAAAGAGAAGAAGGGCAGAATAAAATGAAGTGTGACAACATATGAATTTCAAATTTGCGGAGAGACATCAAAGTGCGCCATCCTGGGCGCCTTCGACAAGGACGCACACTGATTTTTAATCCAGTCGCCCCGATTGTATCGCCACCCTAACGAAGAGCTGAGCGGGGCCCTGCCAGAGAGAGTGGCACCGGGCAGAGGGAGATAGAGAGAGGGAAAGATCAGAGACGAGAGAAGAGGAGATGGAGGAGGAGGAAGGCGAGAAGAAAGGGAAAGCTTTTCCAAACACAGGCGGCCGAGCCCTTTGTTGTCGTCTCGATCAGAGGGCCTCTTTCATCAGAGCGGGAACCGTTTCCACTTCTCTCAGCTTCGGTAAGGGGGAGTGTGTGTGTGTGTGTGTGTGCACTAGGGGTGGGAATCTCTAGGCACCTCACGATTCGATTCGATTACGATTCAGAGGGCTGCGATTCGATGCTAAATCGATTATCAGAATCTTTTTTGTGTGTGTGTGTGACTATAAATACTTTGCTTTAAAAGTACAAAGTAATGACCCATAAAGAATTAACGTACAATATATTTTATTAACATTGCAAAGAACCAACAGGAAAATACATGTGTGTCTGAACTAGCAGCAGCATATTTGTAGTAAATTAATAATATAACAACGACCGGTAACGTTACAGCCGAGTGTTTTTCCTCCTCTGGCTGGAAACGTGTCATTTGGCTTCATGTGTCTTGTTTCCGAAATATTTTAGTTTTACTCTACAAAGCTTACAACTAGTGTGGCTCTTGTCCAGCTCCTTTCCCCCTTCAACTTCAGAAGCCAAAATATTTCCACACGTCAGCTTTTAACGAGGAGGGTGTTTGGATTTGGCGCTCAGCCATCGCGTCCGCGTCTGTGTTATGTGCACGCCACAGACGGTCCGGCCACTGCACTTCCGCGCTTCAGAGTTCCGTCTGTCGCGTTCCGTCAATATTACGTTATTATAAATATATATCTAAAAAAAAATATTTTTTTTTGAAAATCGATTTTTGACAATTGTGAATCGATTCAGAATCGTCCACGTCCGCATCGCGATGCATCTAAGAATCGATTTTTTCCCCCACCCCTAGTGTGCACGTACAAGTGTTTGGTGATGGTGGGTACCCCTCGAACATCACCATCTGAGGACTTTAGCCTCGGTTCAAACTTCAGTTACAGTTTAAATATGACACTGCGTCTGTCTATGAAGGGATTTTTTTCCCCTAATGCACTCCTGAGAAATTAATGGAATTAAGCAGGGTGCCAAATAAACTGTTTATTATTATTATGAAAAAAAATTAAAATATTATTATTATAAAATATTTCAAATAAAATAAAAAATAACAGGCCATAAATATTTCTTAGAGGTCATGAAAATTTATTTTGAATTTTTATTTTCAAAAATACATTCTCATAGGGAAATTATGGGAGCTTGTTTCCGCCACTGGATAAAAAAGGTAATTGCAGTTTTTATCTAACAATTCCAACTTTTTTTCTTGCAATTGCAAGTTAACCTTTTGCAATTCTGAATTGTGAGATATAAACTGGCAATTGCGAGAAAAAAATTCCGAATTTTTTTATTTATATCTGGCAATTTTGAGAAAAAAAGTATGTATTGCGAGATAATAATTTTAAAAAAATATTCCGTGGCAGAAACAAGCTTCCATATGAAATTGCATCTGTTGCAAAAACATGAAATAAATATCTTAAAGAGACAGTCCACACAAAACAGAATATTCTATCATCAAACTCACGCTCATGCCATTCTAAACCTATGTGACTTTCTTTCTTCTGTGGAACATGAAAGAGAGAAGATATTTTGAAGAATGTTGTTAACCGAAGAGTTTCGTTTCCCATTTACTTGCATTGTATTATTTTATTCAGTGGTTTGCAATTGTCATTTTATTGCAATTGTCCCCCCCCCCCCCCATAAAATTTTCCTGAAAGTCACAATCGTATCAGCTGACTTTACCACAATGACCAGCCAACTGGTCAATAATTATTTACCCGCCAAAGCCAATTTTTACTTTCATTTGTCACTTGGTGGGTGATAATTTTGGACCCTGCTTGTGAGCATAGCCAAGTGAAAAAGTTTTGTGCAGTTACAGATTGTGGAAGAACTGATGCAACAGTGAGCATACGGTGACAGTGTAGAGAGACAGACAGACAAGCATTGCTACTGTGCCAGTCTATGTGGCTTAGCAACCAGAGGAAAGAGATCCGAACATGAGCGAGAGGATGTGAGAGTGCGTTCGCAGCCAAATATACTACAAGGAAAAGCTGCCTCTAAGCAGTGTCATGGGGTCAAATCCTAAATGGCTTTTACACGTTTTACACACAAACACATTTGCTCGCTCTCTCTGTCAAATGAGAAGCTTTTACCACTTTGCTACACAAATACAGGGTTAAGGATCTCGGTTGACAGTACAAAGGGTGCAGGTTCAATTCCAAGTGCCCTTGAGTACAGCACCCCAGGCTGCTCCAGGGAAACGGTCCCTGCAGGTAATCACATATACAAAAAGCACACTTTTTACAAACCATAACTGTTTTACTTGTTTTATTGTTTTTAAAGCATCTTCGGAATTACATCATACAAAATAAACCATCATCAAGTGCTTTTTAATCTATTAAACAATGACAACATCAATAATAATAAAGAAATATTAAATAAATAAAAAAACATGAATCTAAAATAAACAATGCATAAATATATATTTATTTTAAATAATATTATGAATAATATTTATTTTATTATTTGAATATTATTGTGATTATTGCTTTTATTTAGAAAATTATAATTAAAAAATAAAGAAAATACTGAACAAGCAGATGGTTCAATGTGTTTGTTTGTGTGATTGAGAGAGAGAGAGAGTGTAAAATGTTGGAATGTGACACTTTTGGCAACATCATGCCCCATGGCCTTACCTGAGTACATGTGGTGCAAAAAGGACCTACAGGCACCACACCTGCTCCAGTCTACATCCTGCACATGCCACCCTGCAAGATACAAAGAAGTGTGAATGTGAGACTGTGTGAAGTGTCACCTCACTTCAAATGAACGAACTCATTTGCACATCTTCATTCCTTAGAGTGCACGTTTGCCAGGAAACAATATCGTCATTTTATACCTGTGTTAATCACGGTTAATGCACTGGAAATCGGCGTGTGACCTCAAACAAAGAGCCGTGATTTTTGTATCCTGGCACAGTCCTCAAATGTCTTAGAATTCCGAAGCACAGGTTAGGTTTAAAGCATGTGCGATTTTGTCAGGTACGCTGTGTGGTTTAATGACAGGGAAAGGAATGGTTTGAGAAAGGAGCCGTTACTTACAATCTTGTACCCATGGGTTTGAGTTTGAGGGTTTGCTTGCTTCCTTTCTTTCTTTCTTTCTCAACTCCTCCTCATTCCCTTATATCCGTTAAGGTCTGTTATCACATGTAATATTCTGTGCATCTCGGTGTGTGTATGTGTACAGGGGGAAAAGATAGACATCCTTTTTGTCATATCTAAAATAAAGTGTGAGGTTTTCCTTACACCACTTTTGTTGATCAAGAAATCAATACTTTTATTAAGCATGGATGCATTAATTGATCAAATGTGACAGTAAAGACTTTTACATTTTCTTTTTTTATTTCAAATAAATGCTGCTCTTTTCAACTTTCTATTCATCAAAGAGCTTCCACAAAAATATTAAACAGCACAACTGTTCTAAACATTGTTAATAATAAGAAATGTTTATTAAGCACCAAATCAGCTTATTAGAATGATTTGTAAAGGATCATGTGACACTGAAGACTGGAGTAATGATGATGAAAATTCAGCTTTGCCATCAAAAGAATAAATGACATGTTTCAGTATACTGAAATAGAAAACAGTTTTTTTAAATTGTAATATTTCACAATTTTAGGGTTTTTACTGTATTTACTGATTAAATAAATGCTGTCTTTGTGAGCATAAAAGACTTCTTTAAAAAATCATTCATTTTAAATGTAATATTTTATTAATTAATAGTATATTTATTAATATTAATCAAATGTTATTAAATGTTTTTTTTTCTAATAACTAATTGTAATAGTCATTACAGTGAGTGATCACCTTTGAGACCTAAATACTTTGTCTCTTATGATTCCGTGTCAAATCCCAAGTCACATTCTTAATGTTAGTGTGGCTCAAGTCCGAGTCTCTCCTGACAGAAGGCTGTTGGTATGAGAGATGAGTGTATGTGTGTGTGTTAGGACAGTAAAGAGATAGAGATGTGTTTAGCTCGAGAGTGCAAGAGAGAGATAGAGAGATGCAGCGTGCACTGCCTCCGGCTACCATTATGTCTTCCATTTGTCTGTAGAAGTATGGGTCAGTGTGTGTGAGAGGATGTTTGTCTGTTTGCTGTGGTTAGTCGTGTGTGTGTGTGTGTGTTGGGGGACAGGGGTTGTTCTCATTATCATGTGGTGTGTGTGATTAGCAGGCTAGCTGCTGCAGTAGGCAGACTGCATCGTTTACCATGCTGTCAACACTACAGCCTTCCACCGAGCTCGGCTATTACTCACCATACAACACACACACACCGACATGCTCGCTACATGTGTGGGTGTGCATGACCAAGACAAAATGCAGCAGAACTGCGCGCAAGCATTTATAATTTGCATAGTATCGTACTCAAATCAAATCAGCACATAGATAATTGAGAGTGATGGCGAAAGAAAGGGAAAAAAACTTTTTTGCACATATCCTTGTATGTTACTGAGATGAATCAACAGCACTAGCCAGATTAACTGACACATACAGTCAAACCATAAATGCGTACAGTGAATACAGAGAGAGATTTTGCATGACTACTCTGAACCACACACAAGGACTCTGAAAAGCTGGTGATGGCCTGAGATGATTCCTCAGCATTGGATTGCATTAAAAAAAATATCTTTTTAATTCCCAGAAAAGGATTGTTAATTATTTGGAGGTAAAATAAGTTTGTTGATTCAGAAGAGCTCAAAAATAAGTGCCGCAATCTGAGATGCATCCTCTTGAAAAAAAAAAAGAACACTTTCCCACCCCATAGATGGAAAAGAAAAGAGCGTGCGTGCGTGAGAGAAAGCACATCTAAAAGAAATGGAGGGATTAGGGCTTTGCAAGAGTTTACTATGCTCATTTTGCATGGGGACCTGCAGGATTATAGATAACAAATGTTAGCAGAGCGCTCTGACCCGCTTGCCGAGAGAAAAGTGCGTCTGTTCGTGCTAAAACAGCAGAGTTGGCTTTTGCAATGCTGCTTAAAGAAGGAAAAGGAGTGCAGAAGAAAAGAAGATAAAGAGGAGTATCGGAGTGGGTGGGAGGAGTGAAAGAAGAGAAACGTCGTAAGAAGGAGGTTGCTTGTAAGTTGCACACTTTGCCAAGACGCGGTCGGGGTGGTGAATCACGCGCAGCGATTGTTAATTAATGAAGCGATTAATTGTGTCGACCGGGCGATTGAGGAGATTTTCAGCGAGGTGCAAACCTTAAGCCGATTTAGTTAGTCTACACACAAGAACAGCCTCTTCTGAGTGTGTGTGTGTGTTACACTTTCCACTCAAGCAAACTAAGCCTTCCTATAAACTCTTCTTGCTAATCATCAGCCATGCATTCCCAGCATGCTCTGGCCTTCTCTCCCTCCCAGTCCATTCCAGGACCTGCAGGGCTGAAATTGCAGTTGGGGCCTGGGGGGATTCGGGCTTTGCTATCTTGACTGACCCAAACGCCAGCTGCTCTCAGACTGGTCAATCCTCAATTAAAAGCAGTCTAATTTAATTCAGTCTACCCCGGCGAGTGCTTGACCACAGACGACATCGAGACAGGAGCACTTGGCGTCTGGTCGTGACCCCTTTTGGGCTGGAGCTGGTCTGGTCACTCCGCTCTTTGCCATCACCGTCTCCTAGCCGGTCCCAGTACAGAGCTGCCCTCGAAAAAAACACACACATAAGGTACATATAACCCCGTGGCTACAAGTTCAGTGCGAACATATCGTGGTGATCTCAAAGCATCTGTTGCTAAAGCAGCCTCCCTAACTAGATATGATCATATGGTAGAATTCATACCCAAATGCCCCTTGATCCCGTTATTGGCTTTTTCAATGGATTCCTCAGATGTCTCTAAAGCAAGTCGCTCGGTCCTTTCAGGCCCCTTTGAGCCTAATAAAACACAAAAGCGGGAAAAACAGACAGAATGAGTAAACACAGTGGAACTCCACGGAATGACCGAAGGGGACGATTTGGGTTCATTAGGCATGCATTAACATGAATTACTATCTAATTAAAAGGAAGCAAGTCATTAATAAGTTTGGTGAGGGCCTCTAGATTCTCTCTTGAGTGCGCAGTGACATGTGGAACTCTGCGGCGTTGTGCTGGTTAGCCTTACTGTGGCTGCCACCAGGGAAGAGACACACTCCAGTGCAACAGACAGTTTACATGAGGAAATCCACAAGGTTCATCAAATCAATCATTAAATATTTAAGTCACTGAATAATGATTAAATACGGCTACACGAGGTTTTTAGAAGTACTGTTATTTCCCAAGCTGAGTTTGATGAAAGAAAGAAAAGAAACAACTGTGGATTTTCTGATAATGTCACTCTACAATTTAGCAGTAAACAGGTGCGGATGTCAATCTCACATCCACAAGTTACAATCACTATACATTGTGACTAATATATGTATTCATACATATATATATATATATATATATATATATATATATATATATATATATATATATATATATATATATATATATATATATATATATATATATTAGGGCTGTGCAATGATTAATCGCCACATGTATAAGTAATATTTGCATGTATATACTGTATATATATTTTATATATAAATAACACATTTTTCTTAAATATATACATGCATGCATGTATGTGTATTTATATATAAAAATAATTATACACAGTACACACACATATTATGTAAACACAAACTTTTATTTTGGATGCTATTAATCGTTGCACAGTCCTATATATATATATATATATTGATATTGGGTTTTTGAAACATGATGTTGTAATTTTGAGTAATTCTTTAAAACAATAATTGTTTTTAAATAACTATAAAGTTGTTAAATAATGTGATGTGCATCACATCTTTTATCTCTGGATGTGCTTTCAAAGAAGGCAAATTATGTTTGCATATTTTCTCTATCATCATCATCAGCTTTCAGCTCCATTAGTCCTGTCAGAAGAAATGATGAAACCCGATCAGCATTAAGCTGTGTATTATTATAAACATAAATCTATAAAAAAAAAATGTATTATGGTTACAATTTATAGAAACTGTCATGACTAAGTCATCATAAAACATTTTAGAATGTATATTATCAAACCATCAAGTAAACATTCTGGGAATGAAAATCATATACTTTTTAAATATGTGATCGTGAACTCACGGCAATTCGTACAAATTTTACGAGGTGGCTAATTCGTACGAATTCGACCTCACTCGTACAAATTCGTACGATTTTTGCTAATTCGTACATATTTTACGAGTTACCAAATTCGTATGAATTCGTACGAATGACCTACCCCTGACCCCACCCCTAAACCTACCATCACGTGGGTTTAGACAAATCGTACGAATTTGTACGAGTGCGGTCGTACGAATTCGTACGAATTAGCCACCTTGGAATTGGTCGTGAGATGGCGTTGGATCAGCATTATATGATGTTTGATAATGACTTATTAATGAATTCAAGTGTCATTTAATGAGATGTAAGACTAAAGAGAGGCCACATATATAATGGAATTTGATTCTTAAGTTAACATTCAACAGTAGTGTATGATTCAGAGGTCAAGTCCTGAAATCTGAAGAACAATTTGATATCAAGCGAAAGTGAACAGAAAATATTTGCTATTGCAATCATCCACCAAGCCTGAACATTAATGTCAGCGGTTGATAAGTGAGTGGATGGGTGTAGTGGCAGCTTGTCCAACATTACAAACCCACTGCATCACAGGGATTGAGGGGAAAGTGACGTTGATTTGATTGACCATTGTGCAGGCAGACAGTGGAAGAGAGACCCAATGTATTCAGAAGCATGCTTCTAACCCCTTCAGCCCACAAGCTGTTTACCACTCTATCAGCTGCTTACCAAGGGTCTGGCTGCCATCCATATTCAGACGCCACAAATTCCACTGCTTATCTCAAAAAGCCCCCCTCCAAAAGCTCCCTGTTCCCCTCCACACATACATACATACATAAACGCATCTTTATGGAAGCAAGTGGCAAGTGCACACCTGGATGGGGGCAGGATAAAGATCGCCTTGAATTCAAAGCGAAGGATTGAGGCCTTGGCGGACAGAGCGGGCAGCAATACAGGTGACGGTGTGTGAATGTGTGTGAGAGAAAGAAGAAGAGATTGCAAAGAAAAAGATCTGTATTTTTATAAAATAAAAGCAGATCATTTTAAGAGACAGAAAAAAAAACTAAATGAAATCATATAATTATAAATAGAAATTAAATACAAATGTAATTAATTAATTAATTGGCATTAAATTAAAATGCTAGTGTATTAGAATAGGAGGAAATGGAAAAGAAGAAATGACCAGTGATTTGACAATGAAAGCTGCACTGAAGCATTACAAGAATTTGGTGATGATCAGCCTTGACGATCTCAAAAATGTATAGAATGTTTCATATTTATTTTAGTTAAAGCATATTATCTGGCATCCTAATTTCGTTTAAAAACTCTCTAGGACCAGGGTTTTCAAGCAGGGGACCCCTGGGGGTCTGTGAAGGTACTGCAGATGTGTGAGAAGAAGATATATGAATTATTTTCTTTTTTTAGTAATTACTTAAATTATCATTATGTTGTGGTGAGTTTTAATGAAAGTTATTACAGAATGTTATTGAGAAAATCTAGTTTATATACTTGGGGGGGGGGGGGGGGGGGGGGGTCCTGGGTTAATTGGTCCTGAGTCTCTGCGTGGAGGTGGGTCTATAACTATTGAAAACTGTCTAGGATACTGTAAGAAATTGGTGCTTTAAAACATCGTTTAATCTAAAAATTACTAGATTGACTAAATGCACTTCTGAACTTTTATATATTCAAAATCCCCAGAAATGCCGGTAATGGAAAAAAATGAATGTGGGTAGCCTGTAATTTATAAATAGGGTTGCCATCCATTAAAAAAGTACCGACAGCGCCTAGAATTAACTGTGTTAAGAAAAAAAGATTAGTCTCTTAGCTGTTTCTCATACACATTATGTTTTAAAAAGGCTTGTTCTCTGGCTGTGAGGGAGAGGGAAGAGTACCCTTCTCTCTTTGCACTGGCCAGTGATTGAAGTTAGGAACTCCATGGCTAATTGCGCGCCTGTGCTTTCACATGAATATTCATGCTTGCGTCTTCAGGGCCCCGCCTAATTAGCCCAAAGATAAGTCGAGAGTTGGAGAGATATAGCCCACACCTTTTACGGAAAGGAAAACATTCCCGTTCCATTCCCTCGGGATGCTTGTGGAATCGCCTGAGTTCATTAACCAAAAAAGAGAGAAAGAGGTAGCCTATACCTGAAAAAGCGCAGGATGCCTCTGTAAATTCGTGGCTACTCAGGAAGCGCGCGTACCCATTACGCATGTCTGTCAAAGCCAAGCGGTGAAAACAGAATGAGAGGTGAATCTTTAGTAGAACGAGTCTTTAATTAAAACACTCATTTTAAGTTTGAGTCGATATGTCAGTATTGTACTGACTGAATGAGCTTCCTAAAGTTGGGTAGGATTTTTTTTTTTTAATCTATTTTTAAAAGTGTCAAAATGGACTTAACTCTAAGTAGATTTTCCCTACAATGGCCTGGCTACCCCTCGTTATAGACATCAAAAGAGACATCAAAATTCATCATAATTATTTTCCTTGTTTACGTGTTTATTTTTTATTATTTATTATGTATAATTTGTTCTGGTCTTTTTTTAATGCTGGAATGAAGATTGCAGCATTTTAACTTTATTTTCTAACTTCTAGTTTGTATCAGAGTGGGCTAGTGATTAAACATTTTTTGAATATTTTAAAAGTGTAGTCTATTGATGCAATCAAATTAATAAACATGCAGAAATTGGAATTTATACACAGGCTGATACAGCCATGCAAAATAGAAGATAAAGGTCAAAACAATGAAACTTTCTAATATAAACTCTATAATATGAAAATGTTTTAGCATTTGGCACCCACAGATAACGCCATGTATATTAGCTGTTTTCTGAACTCTTTCTCCTGTGCACTTTTACGGCCTATGGTTAATGGAGGGTTTGACCGATCAGACTCTAATTATATTCAAGTGGAGGGGGTCCCTCGTGCAGATAAAAGCACGTGACTACAGACGCGTGAATCGTAAGAAAAGAAGACTAGAGCCTAGAATCCAATATTTCTGTGAACGAAATGAGACATTTTGTATGCGAATTAAACTATGTCAATAAAACGTTGCTCTTTTATAGCTACTTGAATATCGAGTGAATTAAAGAGGTAATGAAAGCTAATTTTACAGCAAATACTTTCATTTGATTATTTTAATTCAAGGCATTCTTATAATACAGAAAATCAACTTGTAACAGATAAGCAGAGATGAGTAAAACTTTTTTGTCTTAAACTTCGAGCTATAAAATTCTGTGAGCAGATTTAGTACATCCTGGATACTCAAAGGCCACGATTGTTCCCTACTGTCTTTCATTGCCATCTTACAAAACAAGGGCTATTATTTGTCTTTTCCTGTATGGCAAATCATTCATCTGCAGGATCAGTGTGATCCTTTCAAACTGCTCTCCATAGCAACCTCGTGCATCCCAGGAAAAATTCACCTCGCTCCACACAAGGCCATATTCTTTGCGAAGGAAAAAAAAAAGAAGCATCTGGGCGCTTTTTGAACCACTTTCTTTCGTTGGCAAACTAAACCAAGAGTTTGACTGTGCTGCTACTGTGACGCAGCTCTCTGGGCACAAATGACCGCTCTTTTTATAGACTTCCAAATGAGAGAAACTGTACAGGGAAGCATCCTCGTTAACTGCGGCTCTCGGATTGCATTCGGCAATACAGCACGCTTTAGATTAAAATCCTGTCATCTGCTTCCCTGTGGGTCACGTGTTCATTTTCGCCCTAAGTCATGCACACAAAATATCTTTAATTTGTAATAATATAATGGACGCAGAACCACCGCGTTTTTCATTATGAAAAAACTGTGGTTAAAAAAGTAGCCTACAGTTGTTTAGAAATTACATTCAGACAATATATTCAAACGTAAAGAAAGAGAATAGTCTAATATAAACGCGTAAAAGCCACAGTAGAGTTTAAAAGATGTGAAGTTAAATCATTCCTATCAGAAACACATATTATATTAGTTAAGATGCTTTACTCAAGTTATTAAATTACATAAACGTTTTTCTTAAGAATATGCAGTTTCTTTGTACAATACAGGTGTAAACCACTTAAGAATATCGTAAAGGAACCTGCATGTTGTTTAATTTGGTATTAAATGCAATGATGTTGAAATTTCCCTTTGAAATATCCCTGCGAGTGTTATTGCATATGTGATAAATAAATAAATGTGGCTTTACATAACCACGCCTTTGACAGAGTGGTGACGAGCACTTGTGACCCTAAGAACATCATTTAGGTTACACTTCCATGAACGCGCGAAGCTCGTGCAGATGGACAGATAGGAAAAGCAGTGTGTAAACTTACCACTGAGAAGCGTTTTGGTTTGACGCCTGAATTCTCCAGCACATTTCCTCGCAAAAGCCTGTGGAAACACCCCATAAGAGCAAGACAAACACACAAACACGAACGTGAACTAAAAAAAAATACACTGAGGTAAATAATTTAAATAGAAGTGATACCAAAAAAATCTTCTAAAAAAGCTGTGGTTTTAGATGGAGTCGAACGTGTGCCTGATTGCGGAGTTTTAGACGACTGGAACAGGAGAGATGTAAGATTTGTTTAAAGCCCCACATTTCCATTTAAGAACGTGATTGTGTTTGCAAAGATCCCTTTCAATCTTCGCATCTCCCCCTCTCTACCCCTCAGCGTCTCCGAGGCTGCTTTGCAATTCATAGAATTGGTAATTTGCTATTGGGACAAAACGTGAAGGGAAAAATAATCAGATCAGCCGGGAAAGGAATACGGAGGAGGCCATGAGGGAGAAACACTGGATTTCTCTCGAAGTTACTGTTTAGAAAGATGCTTCGAGTGAAGATATTGTCAACACGCCGCAGCTTTGGCTTTGTATGTTTGTAAAAATCTGTTGGCTTAATTTTGAGTTATATAAGCCAACAACTGAAATTTACTTATTTGTAAATGACAATTTTACTGAAATTTACTCTTAGTAAAATGTACATCAAATATTTCAAATGCGTAGGCTATAGCCTATAAGTTAAATTAAGTTAAATTAAATTAAATGGATCTATTTATCATGGTCGGCGGTAGATTGTTTATGCATTTATGCATAATGATGGAGATTGTCTGATATGTTACAGTTACAGTGTGGGCGGTCTGTATTTCTGTATGGTTTATTAATTCGACACATGGTTCCGTGATGGTGCATAGCCTACTTGAATAATCATAAATAATTGTGTTATGTGGGTAACACTTAAATAATATTGCTATATAAACATCTTTTAATGTATCATACTGGTTTTCATCGTTCTCGTGGGTGGCTCCTGAGATACTTTAGAATACTAATCTACTTGCAAAGAGGAGCGGTACAGTTACTAAAAGAGGCGATGCAAGGCGGGTCATTCTTCCACCCCACCAAAAAGAGTGCCACACTCCCCCACGTGGTTATTTGCAAAACAACCCTCAAAGCCCAGTAATTTCCTACGGTTTTGCTGCTCACGCTCTCTTGACTAGTGGGGAGAGGAGAAGAAAAGGAAAAAAAGAGAAAGCGTCTAGTGAAAGCGGCCAATTGCGAGTAACTGGGATCACGGCGCCCGGCAGCCAACCAAGCGGCCCGCGAGAGGTAATAAGGAAACCTGGTGGGCTGTAGTCGGCGAGGAACCAATGCACGCGCAGGGGAGGCGTGTCTTAGCTCTTCCCTAAGACCTCCCAGAGCAGGTTGTTGCGTTTTGGGCTCTAAAGCTCAAAGATATCCGAAGTGCTTGTCAGTTTTCTAAGTCGGAGCCATGGCGACAACAGCTCAGTATATTCCGCGGAATAACTCATTGCCTTCGAACCCGCTAATGCATCCGGATTCGGACAGGATGCATCAGGGGACGACCTATAGAGAGGTGCAGAAAATGATGCACCACGAGTACTTACAAGGGCTAGCGACCAACACGGGACATCCGATGAGCCTAACGCACCACCAGTGGCTGCCAACCTCCAACGCCGACTGGACCAGCGGCACCCACATCGGACAAGCGGAGCACAACAAAGCCAGCGTGCAGAGCAGAGAAGACCTGGGGAACGGGTACCACAGATCGCACCTGGTCCACCAGCCGACGCAAAACAGCCACCACGGATCATGGGCGCCGACCACAACACACCACTTATCCCCGCTCTCTCCCGCCTCCAATGGTCACCAGTCGCTGGTCTACTCGCAGACGGGCTACACTATGTTAAGCCCACAGCCGTCGCTGCACCATGGCTTGCGGGACCCGCTCCACGACGACGCGGGTAGCCACGACAACCAGATGGAGTCGCCCCAGCAGCCGTTCAGCCACCATCAGGACCACTCGGACGAAGACGCCCCCAGCTCCGACGACCTGGAGCAGTTCGCCAAACAGTTCAAGCAGAGGCGCATCAAACTTGGTTTTACGCAGGCGGACGTGGGCTTAGCGCTGGGCACGCTCTACGGAAACGTCTTTTCCCAGACCACCATCTGTAGATTTGAGGCTCTGCAACTGAGTTTCAAGAACATGTGCAAACTTAAACCTCTGCTTAACAAATGGCTCGAGGAGACAGATTCAAACACTGGCAGCCCCACGAATTTGGACAAGATTGCAGCACAGGGCCGGAAACGAAAGAAGAGGACCTCCATCGAAGTCGGAGTGAAAGGGGCACTGGAAAACCATTTCTTAAAGTGCCCCAAGCCCTCCGCCCACGAAATCACCTCTTTAGCTGGCACTCTGCAGTTGGAAAAGGAGGTTGTGCGTGTGTGGTTTTGCAACAGAAGACAGAAAGAGAAAAGAATGACACCGGTGGGGGTCCCTCATCCAACCATGGAGGACGTATACTCGCAAGCGGAGACACCCCCTCTCCACCACACACTACAGAGTCCTGTCCAGTGACTGCTAGCATAAACAGTGTCCTTGTTTCAAAATAAACTACAATGGATTTTGTTTATCTCCTTTGTATATCCCAAGACATCAGAGACAGAAAGTTTGGGAAGAGTTCGCTGACAGTGACCGGACAGCTTATACGGGACGCCACTAATTCTGAATAACGTGAAAATGCATCAAGTACCGCGTCCGCATCGCGTGCATTTATCAAATCAGTACCAGTGTTTACGAAAATCGTATCGTTTGTGCCACTCTGGAAAAATTCGATTCTTTCACCGCCGAAAAAAGGGAGCTACGAGCCACGAAAAAGGGCAATGTCTCCTTGGACAAAGGAGAGAGGACAGTGATTTTGTTAAAGCGATTAACCAGATTAATTATTACAATGATTATCTGTATTATTTGTGTCGTTTACTTTATTTTGAATGTTTTAACGCTAAGATCTTTTTTTTCTGTCTAGCGAGTATTTTACTATAATTTCAACAAAGACAGATTAAATTCGTGATGGAAACAACAGGCACTTGGTCAAAACCTTTAATACAAACAAGTGCACCAGGAACTGTTTACAATGATCATTTCTTGCACCTGATATCGTCTAAAGATGCAGAGACGTTAAAATGGCAACATGAATACACTGTCTGAAACAATATTTAGTCATTTTTGAGTTCTACATGCTCTCATTTTTTCCCTCTTTGCATGAGGCACTTATAATAATGTTATTTTAATTTCTTTTCATGTTTGTTTGTTTTGTTTTGTTTTGTTTTACACTGTATTTGTTCGAGGTATACCACATTAATGCTTTACTTGTTTACAATTTTCTTTTCCAAGTTCGTGTTATTTTGAACCGGCACTCTTTCCTAAGTCTGCTCCAGCTAAACATATTGAGAGTGATGAGTCAAAATGAAAAAGAAAGAAATATCTCAGGTAATTTTCAGTGCCCAAAAATCGTGCTGTACTCTTAGTTCTTCTTGATTATTGGCCAACTCTTGACACTCTCTATGTCAGCTGTGTCCGTTTAGTTTATGTTACTTACATTTTACATCCTACTCATGAGCTTGGACACGGAGAAAAGTAGTTGTTTTAGTGAATAAGGGATGTGTTTTCGGGACTTCTTTTAAGGATTGGGGTAAAAAAAAAAATTAGGAGGCTGGTAACGTTTTGTGTCGTTTCTCAAGGTCTGGCATTTTTCATTGGACAGCAGGTGTTCATTTCTGAAATGTTATTTGAACAGTGTGAATATACAACCTTTTCCAAAAAAGTAATAAAAATAAAAATAAATTACAAGAGAAAAGATTTTAAATAAATAGTTGTCAGGATTATTTCCAATATGTAAATATGTCGAATATGTAAACATATGTATTTGTTCTGGGTTCGTTTTGTTTTGTTTTGTTTTCCGGGCAGTTTTGTACACTTACTAATTCCAAGAAGATATTTTAATATTTCATTTATGACCATTTATATATCTATATATTTATTTCCTACGTGTGTTTGGAGCTTTTTTTTTGTTCGGCTCTGTTGATTATGTTGCAGTGGATTACAAATGTTTTGTTTACTACATTGGTTGTATGTTGATTGCGACATGTAGACTGCAAAGTCACGTTTATATTTATGTTATAGTAATATTTTATTACTTACATAAAACATATATACAAGAACACGACTTCTGTCTTTTTTGAAGCACATTTTCACGCCTATAATGGTGATGGGGAACGAAATAAGGTTTCATGAAATCCCTCTCAAGATTCTGTTTGTTGCGATTCAAACCTCAAAAGCGTTCAAGATGGGTGATGTGTTTAAATCAATGCATGGAATCACGCTTTGATCATATACTTTTTTTGTTAATGCATGAATAAATAAAAATATTTCACACAAGGTACAACATTTTAAATATGCACAATCATACAGTTTAAAAAAACACACACATTTTAAATTAGGTTTTGTGAGCTATAGCCTAAATGTTGAAATTTTGCTTTCGCTCTATTAATATAGGCTATCATTAAAACTTCGATTAATAAAACAGTCTGCGTAAGAGGACACTATAACATCACCGCACAATTAAGTCTATATGATATAATAGTTCATTTATCTATTGAGGTACGTAAACATTTTTAATTCTAATACCAACACCATATATTTCATCCAGTTTATTATTTTCTATGCTCTGGTTTATGCATTTTAAAAGGTAGGCTAACCTTTTGTGGTTGTTCTAAAAAAATCCCATTAGATTGTGAAAAATATTTTTTAGAACACCAAGATTATATACTGACCATGCAAATTGATCTAGAAACCAATTAGCTGTCTAAAGCAATCTTGACTATATTCTATGAAAAATTTAAAAACGGACATGGGCAAACTCGTTTGATTTCACACGAGCTAAGATTTGGGAATTTACTGTGATAGTTTGTTTTTATCCGTGACTCGCAAATCAAAATTCGAAGTCTTTAAAAAGGTTCTTACTTCTCCTATAGGCTAAGCATCTTCTATTATTCGTTTATATAGTGCAGATTTTCCTTATAGACTCTCAGTTCATCGTGACTATTGCTGCCTCTCATTAATCGTTATAGTTTTCTGTAATATAGGCTATATATCCCCTGATTAATAAGTTTTAAGAACGGCTTGAGAATAATCAGAGTTCAGGATGCTGCTTGAAATTCAAAGCACTCATAAGAAATCCCGGATTGAAATGGGACGTTATTTGTTAGTGAAGAGTAGTAAAGAGCAAGAAAGTTGTCACAGAAAATTACATGGTCATCTTTTAAAATGAGTTGTTAACAATATTTATAAAGTGTCGTGGGGTATGTAAATGTTTGCCCATTTTATCATTGACTATTTTATTTGTATTCGTTTAC